TTAACTGTCCCACTACCTTTCATGACGCGGGAATAGTTTTGACTGGATGCGGCATTTATTCAGTCGAAGTAAATTGTGAATGATGAATGTGTCAGATGGTAAAGCTGGGTAATATCTTGCTATAATTAATAAACAATCCCACGACACTCAAGAAAGATTGCGAATAGCCACGAGGGACTAAATTTTCAGTTAATTACTGTGAACTCTAAATCGTCTGACAAACGTCGGGTTTATAGCTAACTTCCTCTAAGGAGGCCGAATACAACAATCTGCTGTTGGGTTTGGCGTTGATGATAAATGATTTACTTACCACACTTTCTATGTTTTGGGAAAAACAAATAGTGTATCCATCGATTAGTCTATATTTTTCATCATCATCATCATCATGTTCATTCATCGTCACGTTTAGGTTCAAATAGTCAATTTAATAATAATTTATAATATGCACTTTAGTTAAATTAGTTATTTGACGCTCTTTGTAAATAGTTATTTTTCATTTTATTTATATTCTTTGTAAGTCGTTTTAAGTTTTATAGTTTTAAATTTATTATATTAATATTACGTTAAAAAATGCATTTGAACGATAAAAACTTACAAAAGAGTATTATGACATATAAATAAAAACAATACAATACATTCTGACACATCCAGCACACTCATACATCCATGTACGGTCTGCTATTTGTATCTGTTGTACTTTTGTCAGGGGAAATCATGCCTTATATCTACAGTTATATAGACTAATACGGCGTTGCCTGGCTATCGTTGCGATGGTGACCGACGATCACTCCTACGTATACATAGGTACATGGTAGATATAAGCGGTAAGTTGTATCGTTAAAGGAACAGATTTTTTTGATACAAGATGGGGAGATTATGAATGCTATTAAATGTATGGAGTTAAATTTGTTTGTTGTAGTATTTGTAGTTCGATTAGGGAACTACTTTATTGATCTAGTTGTCTTAGGAAATAGTAGTAGCTGCAAGAAAAGTACTAGACGATTTGTTGTTTTAAAAATTTTATCTAACAGTCAGAGTTTATTCAAAGTACCTAAAGAGCAATGTCCATTGCTCTAATCCATTGCGTTAAGATTATGAAAAACATATAATAACCGAAGATAATTATCTTTAATTGCTAAGTAAGTCTTGATTTGAAGTTGAAATGAATCAAAAGAATAATTGCGTGTTTGATAATATTGATCATATTTAGTTCAGTAGGTTGCACGACATTCATGAGGAAGAGTCCCTCTGTGACTCGAAACTAGTAGAGCGCTTTTCTCAATATATTTACGTAAGTAACTCGTAATTTTTAATTCATGTAATTTTATCTTTAAATTTTAAGTAATATTGTATGCTGTATTTGTCTATACAGTCCTGAAGTATAACCAATTTTGAAATACAGATTACATACATACCTACAAAGGTATATTTTTAAAATCTCCTTTAGAGTTTAATAGTATTCCGTACTTTGATATTATCATAATTATTTTATATTCAACCTTTAATGCTGTTTCAGATTAGACCATTCTCACCACATCAAACTCAATAATGAAAACTTTTCAATATTTTAAACAAACATACAAGAATAAGCAGCAAAACATATGAATTTCTTAGAAACTGGAACATACGGACAGTTACTGAGTTCATATTTCATTGGGAAACTAACTTGCAGGAATCAATGGCTTGAACGATCGTGTAGTTCGGCCAATATTGTCCGGACAGACTGATTTATGTATTATTTTTGTGGTAGAGAGTAAAGTGCAGCTAGTGTGTGATTTAGATGTTTTTGGTATAACGGTTTCGTGGTTTTTGTGAGTTTTATCTCTGAGTTTGATGAAACGTTATGAAGTTTTTGTATTCTTAGTAATAAATTTCGCTTTTGAATAAGTAGCCTGTATCACTCTGCAGCTTCTTTAGTTAGATATCTCGAGACACGAAAGTTTCACATTTACAATGATAGTTAAATGATTATTATTTGACTTATGTTTATATGTTGTACGTATATGTTTCTTGCGATCAGTTTATTGTTTGGTAAATTTAGAAAAGTTAATGTATCATTATTTCTCTCAGACAAAATCTTAATAACAGACTTAATTTTGAGTGTGTAATTAAACTCACTTATCTTATTTATCCAAGCCAACCTGAACATACAATCTACAGTTAAAAACACCCATTCTATAAATACACAAGATATTCAGAGCTAAAGATTCCCACGCACGACCCACAAGCCAAAGCACTTCACATAAAGAATATAAGCCATCTATTTAATTCTGCTAATAAAACAGAAAGAGCTTGTAATACGACCTTACATAACACAAGACAGCCAATAAGAAACGTCCAAATACGGTGGTAGGAAAAATGAATGGCTAGCAGAACAGAAAACATACTAATGGCATCATATAGAAGCCAATATAAATTGACCCACATTAATAAAATAGAATTCAACAATGGGAGGTCTAGTTACAACAGATGCGTAGATCCGAATGTACTGTCGCGCCATTTCACTTTATTGGCCGTTTGGCCAGTTCGAAATTTGAAATCTGTGTTCACTCTAATTGATTCCTCCCCTTTCCATATTCTAATAAATTGAGTTTCGGGATTTATGCACGATAACTGGTAATTTTACCCCTTTTCTTACCCTTTTTGGGATTTTTTGCGTAATTAATTATCATATTTTACATTTTATTTGCAATTCATTACTTGTTCTTGGGCTTCTGTTCTTTTATAGCCCATTTTTAATGGTATACACATTGAGATTAAAGTTACATTCGAATTAATTTTGCACTAAGTTTTATATTGTCGTGTCTAATAAGTAACAAAAATACTAACAACGAAAAACCTGCAAAAATACACGAAACTCTTATAGAATAAGCGAAATATTAAAAACCTCAATTTATTACATCTGAAAAATTCATCCAGCTACTATATTTGTGACGTCATAAAATTATATTACATTCGTTCGTAGCGGTCGTAGCTCGTAGCAGTTGTAGCGGCTACACTTTCATGGCGTAGCGGGGTGCTACGCGGGGTGGCGTAGGGGGTTACTGACCGCGACATTTGTTGCCGTCCACCCTCGGGTGTCTCGGATAGCCGACTTAATGTACTTAACTTGTCTATGTGTGTGTGACTGAGTCTGTGTGTGCCTATTGGGCTTTATTAATCTGTTGTGGGGATTTTACCTGACAATTTATTGTATAGGTTGCGGGCATTGTGTTTGTATGGATGAAGTAATGGATTTTAGTGGAAAAGTGTTGCTGAAGACTAGCTTTAATGAGAAGATAGTGATAATTTTATGTTGCTTCACCGGCCAGTTGCTTAAAACATTGTAAAAAATAATACTTATAAAAATTTATTATTTCCTATGACAAAACGGATGTGATGATGCATAGCTTTCAAACATACATAATATTATTTTTATTAATTAATGGATAGAAAAAATTTAAAGCAGTAATAAAATATGTAGGTATATTTCAGATCTAAAAACTAATTATTACTATGTAGGTATTAAAACATTATTAAAATTTTGTCTAATAGCGCAATCACAAAAAAATAATAGGCTACCCGTAAATCAATTACGTCTACATTCGCACAACCCTACACTGTGAGCGGGGGTACATATGACCGACTCACCCCCTAGGGGGCGGGTCCGGCAGGGAGAACTGACCGCCACCCTCACTCCTCACCCCCTGGCTTATTTACAACGGATTTTATTCGCACACGACGCGACATGGCCGAACTGAATCTTACTTTATAGAATTTTATTTCATTTTACTGACAAAGTTGGGAGGTTTTTGTTGCGATTACTAATTATCTTATTGAACAAACATACCAATAATATTAATATTTTTTTACTATAAAAGCTAATGGGTATCATATTATAAGTAATATGTATAGCTTGTCGTTTAATCATTGTTTATTAATTTATTCTTAAAGACTGAACATATTGACGCAATTAAAATTCAACGGCACTGAAAAGTAATGCAATATGTCTAATATAAAAGCGAAATATTTATAAAACTTCAAAGACTACTATAATAGAAAATCCCAAAGCAAATAATGACGCAAACATTAAAAATAACGTACACATTATTCGAACAAAGCAAGACCTATTCTTTCGCCACAAATAACTACGCTAACAAACTACATAAGATCGCAAACATACTCATGTCGTGGAATAATTGGACCTATCCGAGCAACTCGAGAAAAATACCAGTCATCTTCTCAAAAATATGTTACGTGTCTCCATACAGAGCCATTGTCCTTTGAAAAAAAAAAGAATATCGCATAACGAACTTGAGTTCCGACTTTATATCAAATATCACGCATGACGCGACTTCTCCCCTTCCCCCCTACGTGAGGAGGGCAATAAAAAATAATATATTGGAATATGTTGGAAATAACAGCGTATCATCCTTCGTGGATACCGTATGAGGACATTCGTGCAGACGAGTCCAGCCTCCTTTTATTGTCTCGGGAAACTGCTGACGTAAGTAACGACTTCTTGTTTGTTATATCGTCTTGTATGAATAAAATTATCCTATCCCCGTTATTTTACATAGACAGGGTAATAAGGAAAGTGGGCCGGAAAATTTTGATGGTTTATTAAAAATGTGTAGCGTTTTGGAAACAAGGAAGCGACACGTTAACACTCAGAGCTATGTTGTATCAGGTTTCATTTTACACGAAGCAAAAATGTCTTTATTTCTTTAAATATGCGATCCTCTCATAGTAACTAAGCAATAGATTAAACTGTCAAAAACCAAGCGGTCACCGGTGACCGCATCCTATTGTTCTATAATTGTGTCTACAAAACCGGTACTCGACGAGTTAAAAAATGAATACTGTTCTAACTCACTCCATATTACATGGGACTCATAACATAAAATAGTGAAAAGTGGGTGTTACGTTGTACACTGGCTTTAAGTGTCATATGTGCACCACTGCCTACCCATTCGGGGATAAAAAGCGTGAAGTTATGCAAATACTGTTCTAAAACTCACCTCCAATTTAAAAACTAAAACACAACAAAACACCACAACACATATTCGCACTACAAACTAAAAAATCGATAGATCACAGCATCAATATTAAAACAGAACCGATCGATGCGCACACGCACACCGCTCACAAGATCGTTAAAGAATGAATCAGGAAGTAAGGTAGACCCCGCGGGTCAGGTAGCAAGGTTTTAACTGCGGCGTTAAGGGGTTAACTGACAAAAGGTGTAATTATTATTAGAGGGTTAAGGGGCTCACAAAAGAAACGAGACGGTCTTGGTTACCCCGAGGTTGCTCGCATGATAGGAAATGAGTTTTAGTGTGGCTAAAATTAGTTTAGCTTTGAGTCTCCTTGTGAGCTGTATTAGTGTGTTGGTAAACTTTCACTTGCGAATTTGTTCAGTGATGTATAAAAGGTGTTTTTTTTTAATGTCATTTTCTTGGTTGTGGTGAAGATGTATATTTTGAACGAGTAAAGTATAGAATCAAGAACATAATAATATGTCCCCATAAACTATCAACTTCTATAATTTTGTTATGTAGTTTTATCTCAAGTTGATGTTACATCTTAAGATAAACATTTATTAGGTTATAGATTCAACTTTTCATAGTTAAGGACAATATTTTTAAATCAACATCTAATTTGTCTTTTAAGTCACTTTTTTTTCTTAATGAGAATAAATGTTTTAAATTGAATAAACAATATTTCTGAATTACTTACTTGTCTATTATTCCACTAAACATAATTATCTTCAAATCACAATATCATTACACTTATAAACACAATATTTAACCGACACTCGACTCAAAGAACACAAAACATATTTTCGAAATTCGCGAATAATGTCTACCTGACTTCACATTCGCGTGTGAAACTAGCAACTGTCATCTTGCCAAACTAACCCTTCACATGCTACGCAATGTACCTGAAACGACCCGACCCAATAATTCATTACCCAACAATACAACATAAACTCATTTTTCTAGTAATAGTAATAACCCTTTTTCGCGGTGTCTATGCGACCCCTTGCAAAATTTTGACACAAATAAAACACCCTGTATTGAACACAAATATTTAAGAAAAAAATTCGCGTTCGCTTTTCAAACTTTGTCTCTGGTCATAAATCAGTTAGTAAATAACAAACGGTTTGTGTTATACGTTCGATATTTGAACTGGAGCGTAATCGATTGACATTTTAATGATACTTATGATTCGATTTTTGTTTAAACTTTTGAATCCAGTACCAGTAACATACTAAAAAAAAACAAGTAAGAAGAACTACACCTTATTTATTTCATTGGACACTAAATAACATTATTTTATTTTCGTTGGCACATTTTACCGAAACTAGTGTACTTATACATAGTTATTTGGACTAAAATCTAATCAAAATCATTCTCATGACACCGTTTCGTACTTACAGCTATTATAATTATACGAATATTGGTGCAAATCATCGAGATTAAGTATTAATATCTACATCACAACCAAAACAAAGTATAATCACAAGAAATCACTACAATGACACTTGAAGCCAATCAATAAAGGACCCTATTATCAAACAATTAGACCGACCAGTTTTATTGTTAAACTCAACAAAAAGGTTTATAATTTGTCAAGAGCTGCACTTAAAGATTTGAGATTATATTCATAGGTAATTTCGTACTTGACGTGTGGCACCGACTGTGAATTATTCGCCTAATTTAGTACTATTATGTTGATTTGATGTTATCTTATATAGTGAAGAGGTTGAGTGTGATATATCAGAGTGATTGTTATAGATTAGTGAAGTGAGTGAGTGAGAGAGTGAGTTTAAAGTATGTTAGTGCTATCGACAGATTTGATGTAGTGTGTTATATAAATGAGTGCAACTTTATTTGCTAAAGATTTTTTATTAGTCTATTCTAAGTCATGCCTTGTCTATATTTGGTGGGATTGTTTTGAATAATATGAGTTTTTTACTAGTATTGAAATTATAATTAGAAAATGCCTAGAGTTAGCTAAGAAAAACATGTTGAAAAATGCTTTACGAGTAGTTAGAGAGAAAAATATTTAAACATTTCCATATCAGGCACAAGACGTGCGGTGCCTTCATTAAGTGCCAATTTTTCAATGCTCAGTCAAATTTTAACTGACGAATAACTTTCAATATTTGACAATTCTTCCGTACTAAAAACTGTAAAATATAAATTTTTACTACAGTTAAGAATTAACTGAGTATTGAAAAATCGGCTCTATCATTGTTCAATAAATACATGCTAAATCTACATACATAAAAATTAAACACAACCAATAGATAAACGAAAGCCCATCACTATAGAGTACCATTAATAACGATAAAAGAAGCTCAAAGCTTGCATCTGCTCGGCTTAATACGCCACGAGCGAATGCGAATTAAAATAGGAACCCTCTATGCAAAAATTGAATAGCACAACCCTATTATCATATGTCAGGTATACGCAAATATTGCAACATTCATTCAAATTAATAAAATAATAAAACTAGTCCGCTGTGGAAGGGTTAAGTTGGTATTGTTTGGAGGATAGGGTTGTGTAGTGTACCATAGAGTGTCTTCTAACGGTATTCCTGTGGCATATTGTGCGAATTATACTTAGTTATGATATGGTTTTTGTCATTATTATTATTATTATTATGTCTGTCTATGTAAAGTGTTGTAATGAATTGAATACGGAGTGAATGAACATTATTTTTGCAACTAATTCTTTCATTTAGCAATAGTAAATCCATTGACTTATAAACTTTTTCTGAACAGCTACTTAATCGTCATTGAAATTGCTATGCATTTAACTATACGATACATATGTTCCCCCTTCCCTACTATGTGTAAATCACCTTATGGTTTAGGTCATCATCATCAGCCTAAGTGCCCACTGCTGAGCAAAGCCTCTTCTCACACGAAGAAGGTTTCAGAATTAATCACCATGTTTACTCATTGCGGGTTGGCGATTTCAAACTTATAATTAGATATTATAAATCCAAGTTTCGTCACGATGTTTGCCTTCACCGTTTGTCAGTGGTGTCTTAATAATCTTAAAAAGTACATATAGCTAGGAAAAAGTCGCATTTGTAATTGTCGTTGGTAGGTTTCGGGCCTGCATCCTCATGCATGAGAGGCGTCTTCACCTCCGGGCCACTGGGACATTCGTATAGTTTATGTAATTCATAGAAACAAAAACATTTATATTATTTGACACAACATAAGAAGGTATATTAACATAAGAAATCATTTGTGTTACAACAATCCACAGTAAGGCTGTGAACACAAAACGAACATTAATTAATGGATCATTAGCGTAATTATTAAAAAAGAAGAGATTACAATTATTGAAAAAGGTCGTTAGGGTCATGAGAACACTCTGGTTCTAAACGATTTCACACTGATCGACTCTTGACACCGTCGATTGTCGAAAAAACATAAATTCGGGGGAAATGGGGTTAAAACGACATGTTTTGGGGTAAAAAAAAGATTTGTGATATTTTATTTTGTACAACACTAATTATATTTGTATAGGTTTATATATAGGGGGTCATTTGCAGTAGTTTTTTCGCTTTTGTAATTGATAGGGTTCAGTATTTTGGTGATTTCAAAAGTTTCTCAACGTAATGATGGGTAATTTATTGCTGTGTCATGATCTTATGAGAAGATTTAACGGATTTCTTTTCCTTTTTGCTATCAAGATTTTAATGATGTAGCTTTTTGTTTTGTATTTTGACTTTAGAAATAAAGAGATCAATACATGATCAAACTTTTCAACTATTTCCATTTAAATAAAATCACGTCGATTCTTTGCTCCGTGCCCTGAAAGACAGACAAACAAACAGTCACACATACTTTCGCATTTACATATAATATATTAGTACGGATAAAAACTAAGACTTGAAATACAAAATAATATAAAGTAACTATTACAGCGAAACCAAAAACTAACAATAATAAAACGTTAAAACGTCATTCCAAATTCGAACACTCCAAATTTTTTTTTTCAAATAAATTTGACACAAAAAAAATTGTACAATCAATTGTATTTTGTACACTGGCAGCTTACACCGCTACCAACACTTCGAATGATTTTTTTTTATAATCTATTGTAACTTTTTGCTAGAGTCAACGAGTGCGTATAGATATTTTTTACATCTTTTTTTTTTCAAAATCCTATTTCTCGGATTTAAAAGGATTTAGACACTGTTGTGGCAACAGTAGCGTTTGTGGAGAACGATATTTGTTTTGATTTAGTGTTTTTATTGTTTGGCACTTTCCCACGGATTTGGGGATTTGCGATGTTCTATTAATTATGGTTGTGTCAGGTCGGAAACATATGACGTAAGTACCTATGTTTCAGAATGTCAGTGAAGATACAATACTCTAGTGTTAACTATGACTCTATACATACATGTATAATTTTATATACAAGAACATAGTGTAATATTCAAAATTCAAATGACTTTCCTAGCCCTCTCATTTTTTCATTTAAATTCCTATCAATAATGCAATATTCACGATATGCAGTGACACCTACAAATAAAAGAAAATCGAAATACAATATTCATGATCATCAAAAATTCCGACCCCTAGAATCCAACCAATTTTCGGGGCCAAAAAAATCGCGACAAATCCTAATTCACCCCAGCGTCCCCTATTATTGGGATCCAATCTTACGACCCGATACTTGGCTTATCAACATTCGGACACCATAACAGGCATTTCGTAGCCTCATACATATTTTAGGGGACGCAACCCCGTTTGGTCAACTGTCAGTAATGATTTGCTGCTGTTTCCCTACCAAACGCCCCCAAGAAAAATTTCCAGTCCTAACAGAACCATAGTTAGGCACAATTTAAAAAAATAGAGAGTTCAAGTTATACTAGATAGTTTGCCAGGATCAGGGGCGTTAGAAAAAAAGTTAGATTATCTACTATTTTTTCGGACGCACGGTTGCCGGGGTGGATATCGGTGGAAAATATGGCTTCCTATTCGTATATATTTGGGATTTTTGTTGATTCTTTATTTGTGTATTTTAATCACACGCATCATTTTATAATCAACTTTGTTTCGAATCAAATAAAGCAAGTTTTTGAATAACATAACAAGACTGAGA